CCCCCCGCCACTCCCACACCCGCTGTTGGCTCGATCAGCAGCTTCATCCTTTCCCACACCAGCCGTGTGGCTCGCTGTGGAGACAGAGCAGCAGCTGTCAGCCCAGCAGCGAGCACAGGCTGCTCCAGGGCTGCGAGGGCACTGTGCGTGCCCCTCTCCCTGCAGTGCTCTGGGAAGGGAGAGCAGAGTTTCCGCCAGCCCTTTCCAGCTGCAGACAGCGTGGGTGTCGCACAGCTGCGGTGGTGGCGTGCAGGGCTTGTGCTGCCCTGGGAGAGTGGAGGGGCAGAGCGTGGCTGGAGGCAGCTGCTGGCAGCTCCCGTGAGAAGGGAGCTGGGAGTGTTTACCTTGATTTCGTCCTCCGAGACTGTCAGGACGTCATCGACCAAATCCCTGATGATGGGCCACGTGTTTGGTCCGATGCTGGTTTTAACTGCGTCCGCGATGGTCTCGGGCGGGTGAAGGTTGGGTGTCAGCTCCCCTCTCACCTTGGACTGGTAACAGTCGTCCGCGTTGCGTGGCTCAGCCGCAAACACTTTCACATCTGGTCTCAAAGTCTGGGGAGAGCAGGAGGAGCGGCTCGGTTTAAACTGCCATCTGCCTGCATGCATAGAGCACCCTGTGCTGCAGCCGTGCACACCCCAGGCGCCTTGGATTTCCACAGCAGGATTTCCACAGCAGCTGCCTGTCCTGGGGACCCTGCCCATCCCACAAGGAGATGCAGCCACCGTTGCCTACCTTGATGGCAACTGCAATTCCTGCAATCATTCCTCCGCCTCCGACAGGAACCACCACTGCGTTTACCTCAGGTGTCTGTGCAGATGGGAAGCGTGAGTGCTTCTGGCACCTCGGGTACCCCCTTTTGTTCCCCCCTTGCCTATGAGGAGCAGAGCCCTTGGCCAGCTCCAGGCTGTGTGTTTGCCTCACCTGCTCCAGCACCTCCAGGGCGATTGTGCCTTGCCCCGCCATCACTGCCAGATCCTGGTTGGGGTGCACCATGACTCCTCCTGTCTCCTGGACAACACGAGCTGCTGTCTCAGCTCTGGACTAAGGGAAGGTGCAGGTGGTCACCTCTCCATCTGGCTGTGCCACATCCCTGGCTGTTCTCCCCATGCTTTACCTCATCACTGGGCTCGCACAGCACCAATGTGGCACCGTAGGCGCAGATGGCATCTCGCTTACAGCGTGGGGCTGTCCGGGGCACCACGATGTAGGCAGGAATCCCTGTGTGACAAAAGAGGAGGCAAATCTATGGCCACTTAACCACGGAGGGGACACCCCTGCCTTGTCTCCAGGGTGGGCAGAGGTGGGCACCTGGAACTGCCTCTGCCCAGACCCCAGCTCTGCATTTGTCCCTGGCCCTGTGCCATCTCTGGGATGGAGCTGGAGGCCAGGGTCCATGTTACCTTCTGCCTGGGCAGCGCAGGCCAGCGCCTGGCCGTGATTCCCGCTGCTGTGTGTCACCACGGCCCGGGGCTGCCCTGCTCCAGTGCCCTCCCTCTCCTCGATGAGGCTCCTGACCGCGTTCAGGGCACCACGGAGCTGGAAGGAAAGCGCAGCACCCTCAGTACAGGTGGGGAATTTATCTCCTTGCAGCCTCCCCCGTGCCCTGGGAAGCGATGTCCGGTGGGTGCCGGTGGAAACGAGAAGCGCCCTTTGCCCCTTCGTCCCTGCGCACCTTGAAGGAGCCAGTCCTCTGGAAGAGCTCGCACTTGAAGAGCAGCCTCCGGCCTGCCAGGCGGTCCAACCCCGTGCTGGTGAGCAGCGGCGTGCGGTGCAG